ACATAATTTCCGATGCTTTTGATTCTGTAGAATAAATGTTTGAACGTCAAACAGTTCCAAAGCAACAAATTCGTGTCGTCAGTAATTTTCCCAGTATTTGAATATGTGCATTCAACCTGCCAAAAGGTTAAAAAAACGTGTAATTTGAAGCCCTTTTATATACGAAAAAAACGAAGAGAATAATAATTAGTCGTGCATTTCATACATACAAATCGTGCCCAAAAAGTGCAGTATTCATTATTCGCGCCATGGTGAAATTTTTTAGAGCTGAAAAATGCACTCCTGTTTCACATCGATGAAAAAATCTGTTTTGAAGATAAAACATTGTTTTGGTTCCTCTCACAATAATTGTGACATAAATATGATATATACTAAGTGACATATAAATCCGAACACCCAGTTTAAATGGTTTTATTTTAATAAAATTTTATTATTATTATTATTTAATGAAGCATAATAAGTAAATGATAAAAATTTCCAAATGATTGCACTGCTTTAAAGCCCTTTGACCTTTAATAATGTGTGGATGCACCCTGATGTGCTACGCATTCTCCAACGCGCCTAGGCATGCTTTTGATCAGGTGGTCAATGTCCTCCTGTGGTATTTCATTCCAGGCAACCACCAACTCCTCTCTAAGTGCTTCTAGAGTCTGAGGAGGACGTTGCAAATTGAGCAATCTCCTACCCATCATATCCCACACGTGCTCAATTGGGGATAAGTCGGGAGATCTTGGTGGCCATGGTAACAATGTGACATCATTATGTTGAAAGAAGTCTATTGTGACTCTTGCAACATGTGGTCGGGCATTATCTTGTTGGAAAGTTGGATCTGCCAGGGTGTCAAGATAGGGTAAAAGATGGGGTTCTAGAACTTCGTGGATATAACGCTGCGCGTTCATGTTACCTCTGATGAAGATTAAAGGTGACCTGGAACCATAAGCTATAGCACGCCAAACCATAACTCCAACAGTGTGATGAACATGTCTTTCAACAAAAAACTGTGGATTCCTCCTTTCACCACGTCGCCTTCTAACCCTGGCACGACCGTCGTGCATGTCTAAACAAAATCGAGACTCGTCACTAAAGACAATCCTGTTCCATTCCTGATCCCAGACTGACCGTTGTCTGCACCAGTCAAGGCGATTACATCGGTGTTCTCGAGTTAAAGGGAGGACCCAGTGTGGCCGGTATGAAAACAAGCCAAAACTTCTCATTCGTCGGTAAACACTTCGCATGCCAATAGGTCTTCCGTGTTCTGCAAACCATTCATTTGCAATGGACCTGGTAGTGGAGAAACGGTCCCTTAAGGCCAATAATCTTAGGCGGCGATCAACACGGTCTGTTGTTCTACGGCGGCGTCCAGTGCCCCTTGTTCTTTGCGTACGGCCTTCTCGAAGCCATGCCTGACAACACCTAACCACAGTGTCTACACTTCTTTGCACTCTAACTGCAATTGCCCGAAAAGAAAGTCCAGCTTCCCGAAGTCCCACTATACGGCCCCTATCAAACTCACTAAGTTGACGAAATCGTACAGGTCTCCGTACTCTAGGCATCGTAACCGATCGTAAAGGATGTCAAGAACCAAAATCCGCCAACGTTGATTCTTTACTGCGGCTGAAATATTCATTTTTAGAGCGTTATGGAATTACAAAAAAAAAAGCAGTACAAAAACCGGAATGTCCAACTGATAAGGATGAAAATTTTACCACTTGTTATTTACAGTAAGATAAATACATTCACCAACTTTTATTAAAATAAAACCATTTAAACTGGGTGTTCGGATTTATATGTCACTTAGTATATAAATTTGCTGTACGATCCCCTAATAACCTTTGGACATAATCGAACAAATGGTTTATGTTTTGAAAATTCGAATTTTCCAAGGTTCTGACCTACGTATTCAAGTGAACGCTGGTGTGGTTTGAATCGAATATTAAAGAAGAATTTGTATGTACCGAAAAGGAAAATAGACAAACCCAAACCAATAAATCATTCAGCATTTGAAACATGTATCCATGTATCCATTCATTAAGGAGAAGAACCCAGTAAGGGATTTTTGGAATTACTTGATTGCCGCAGATCAACATAAGCAGGAATATATTGCATCCAACATTGTGTTTTTTTGTCCAGTCTTCTGTCATTCTGTCACAATTATACAGGGTGCGGAAGAGAGGACGGACGTTTTTGGGATGGGCAGTACCCTCCACATCCGTCTACGAGATAGGTAGGGAGGGTGCCGCTTGATTCGTGAGATCCTAGCATTATTTTACCAGTTGTCGTTATGGAGCCTTGGACAGTGGAGCCCCGCGTTTTCGCCTATGATTGTTTCGTCCGAAATAATGAGTCAGTCATCGTCGTACAGCGTGAGCTTCGTCGCCACTTCAACATTCATCGGAATAGAGCTGTTCCCTCTCAAAACACCATCCTTCTTCGGGTTGAATCACTTCGCAGGAGTGGTGAACTGATCAACAGAAGACCAAGAGGAGCGCCGCGAACACTTAAGAACTCCTGAAAATGTTGAACGCGTTCGACAGGTCTTTCTTCGCAGTCCTACTCGATGTGCCCGGAAACATGCTGCTGCACTTCGCCTTAGTGATCGTTCGGTAACGCGAATTTTGCATATAGATCTCCGCTTTCACCACTACAAATTGGCCATTGTGCAACAGTTACAGCCCGGAGACTATGCACAACGAATGAACTTCGCATGTGAGATGGAAGCACTGATCGATCAAAATGAGCACCTCATTTTGTTTATGAGACACCTCAAGGCTAGAGTATACGCGAACAAGCCCCGAACTCTGGACGAATTGAAGGGCGAAATTCGCGTGGAAGTCGCCCAAGTTGAAAGAGCGATGTTGGAGAGAGTCTACGCGAACTTCCAACGATTTCGGCCACCACATGCCTGATGTGATTTTCCACACTTGACTGTCTCAAATGCAATTTCCTTTTGAACCTGATTCCATCAATAAATTTGTTTTCGAGTAAAAATTAACTATTTTATGGTTTTTTTAAAACCGTCCATCCTCTCTGCCGCACCCTGTACCTGAAAAAAGCCACTGTGGTGGTCGAAACGTAGTTAACTAAACAGAAATCTGAACATTCAAATTCAAATTCCTTTATTAGGCCCGAATATACGTAAGTATAGAGAGAAACACGTCATATGTATACCACGCAATATATCAAAAGTAAAGACGAAATAAAAAACAAACTAAAAGAACAACAAACAAACTGAATACAGAAAATTTAAAACGTGCATTTTATTGCCAAGTTAACGGACCTCCTGACAAGTGTATCATTTCAGGTTCTTCAAAAACACAAGGAACTCATATGTGCTGTAGATGATGTAGATAAGAGCATCCTCTTAAGGTGCCTTTTGGAGAGCATAACGTTATCTATACTAAGTGACATATAAATCCAGTTTAAATGGTTTTATTTTAATAAAAGTTGGTGAATGTATTTATCTTACTGTAAATAACAAGTGAAGAAATTGTCAGCCTTATCAGTTGGACATTCCGGTTTTTTATACTGCTTTTTTTAATTCACTAACGCTCTAAAAATTAATATTTCAGCCGCGGTAAAGAATCAACGTTGGCGGATTTTGGTTCTTGACATCCTTTACGATCGGTTACGATGCCTAGAGTACGGAGACCTGTACGATTTCGTCAACTTAGTGAGTTTGATAGGGGCCGTATAGTGGGACTTCGGGAAGCTGGACTTTCTTTTCGGGCAATTGCAGTTAGAGTGCAAAGAAGTGTAGACCCTGTGGTTAGGTGTTGTCAGGCATGGCTTCGAGAAGGCCGTACGCTAAGAGCAAGGGGCACTGGACGCCGCCGTAGAACAACAGTCCGTGAAGATCGCCGCCTAAGATTATTGGCCTTAAGGGACCGTTTCTCCACTACCAGGTCCATTGCAAATGAATGGTTTGCAGAACACGGAAGACCTATTGGCATGCGAAGTGTTTACCGACGAATGAGAAGTTTTGGCTTGTTTATATACCGGCCACACTGGGTCCTCCCTTTAACTCGAGAACACCGACGTAATTGCCTTGTGTGGTGCAGACAACGGTCACTCTGGGATCAGGAATGGAACAGTATTGTCTTTAGTGACGAGTCTCGATTTTGTTAGGCATGCACGATGGTCGTGCCAGGGTTAGAAGGCGACGTGGTGAAAGGAGGAATCCACAGTTTTTTGTTGAAAGACATGTTCATCACACTGTTGGAGTTATGGTTTGGGGTGCTATAGTTTATGGTTCCAGGTCACCTTTAATCTTCATCAGAGGTAACGTGAACGCGCAGCGTTATATCCACGAAGTTCTAGAACCCCATCTTTTACCCTATCTTGACACCCTGGCAGATCCAACTTTCCAACAAGATAATGCCCGACCACATGTTGCAAGAGTCACAATAGACTTCCTTCAACACAATGATGTCACATTGTTACCATGGCCACCAAAATCTCCCGACTTATCCCCAATTGAGCACGTGTGGGATATGATGGGTAGGAGATTGCTCAATTTGCAACGTCCTCCTCAGACTTTAGAAGCACTTCGAGAGGAGTTGGTGGTTGCCTGGAATGAGATACCACAGGAGGACATTGACCACCTGATCAGAAGCATGCCTAGACGCGTTGGAGAATGCGTAGCACATCAGGGTGCATCCACACATTATTAAAGGCCAAAGGGCTTTAAAGCAGTGCAATCATTTGAAATTTTTATCATTTACTTATTATGCTTCATTAAGTACTTATACAAAATTTTATTAAAATAAACCCATTTAAAACTGGTGTTCGGATTTATATGTCACTTAGTATATATTTATTTTGTGTTGTTTTATTAGTTTTTACCGTGACGAATCCTATACATATATTGTAACGTCTCTCAGGATAATAATGAATCTAAATTGGAGAGCCGAAAAATCTATTCCAGACCATGATCCTTTTTACACTAGCGCTGTATACCTTTCCGTAATTATAATCCTTCTCTCTCTCTCTCCTTGTTTCAGTCCATCCGCTAATTCAGGTTCGCAACCAGCTTGTTGGAGCACCGGTGAACACCGACGTCACCCTCCAGTGTCACGTGGAGGCCTCGCCGAAAGCAATCAACTACTGGACTAGAGAGAGCGGTGAGTTTGGGTTAAGGCTTTGGGGTAGGGGTGAGCGGGCAATGGGCAGAAGTGCTTGCTAACCTATTCATAAGGACGCTCGGTGCTCTACGCTGTCTCTCACTGACCACATTTACACCTAGGACTGACACGCACACATGTCCGCAATTCCACGATGCCGAGTGCGATCGCTTGGTGGTGTACAGGGTGAATGGGCCAGAAGGGTGACAAATAAAATTACCATATCAACAAATACTTGAATAATAATAATTAAAGTTTTTTTTTGTTTGTGATAATAGTATAAGAGGCGAGATTTAGATACTACAGGGTGGCCGATATGTAACCGACTGGTTTGTATCTTGAATATTTGTGAAATGAAGTGTTTAAATTCACCTGTTTGTTCGCTGGGCACGTTGTTTCGGTGCTGTTGCGTCTTGTAGAACTTCCGATTTCACAGTGTTTTCTCTTAAAACTTTCAGAGTAGTAGTCTGATAGATTATTTGGGAACAAAAAAAAGTGCGGATGAAGTACGCTATCCATGAAATTTTTTTCCCAAAACACTGTATTTTTATCTGTTGTTTCCATCATTATCTCCACCGCCATCTAGCTGCCGTATGACGTAGACGTCTGTGCATATGTCATATATGACAGGCGCTTGCCTGCGGTGTTGCCGGATTGGGCTCCGCATTTAGGGAAAAATATGAAAAGTGGAACATTTAGACAGGGTGTTCAGTTTATTGTTGCATAAGTTTAAGATTCTATAGAACTTTTAAAATTAATGCATAAAGTCTATATAAACATGGGTCGAAAAATGCGTGGCTTCCGAAATACAGGGTGTTTAAATTTACTTTCTAAAATAGTTTTTTTTAAATATTTCGTACGATATTTGATGTATAACAGTGAAAATTGATATACAAGGGTTTTTTGGTACCGTAAAATCATTCAATTTACTTTGTAAGCTTATATATAAAAGTCTATTACCAACAGCGGAAGGAATTTGATGTAGACTGTACCTTATTGAATTACTGACTATATGTAGTAGTTATTATTGCTTAAAAATACCAACCTGTTTTTTAATTTTTTTGTTAAATATTGGACCATAGTTGCATATGATGTTTTTAACTATAGTCCAGATCGAATTTCACCAAGAAAACGTACGCGTATACGAATTTGGACTACAGTTGGAAGGGTCCTCATGCAAAAATAGATATATTGAAAGTGATATCTGCAAAAAGAAACTACAAATTACAATCAATAATCTTATTTTTTTATTTATAAGGTACAAATTGAGATCAATTTAACAAAACAAGCCTACTCTTCTTAAAACGTCAACAAATGAACAAAGAAAACGTATCTTTCATAGGAACATTTCAAACTATTCACAGAAATTATTTGAGAACAGCAATAAAAGATAAAGAAATTAAACAAAAACAATTATTTTTTGGGATTTCCCCACCTACTTTCTAGCTCCGGAACTCGGAATAAAGACCTTTTGGTGCTCATTTTTTTGGGCTCCTCAGTTTTATAATTAATATCACCGAGAGGGTAAAATATTTTGTCCTCTTTTTCTGGCCATTTCCACAACAGTCCAGAACGGGGCCATACATTTTACGTAGGCTCCTTCTTCTTCGATAGATTCTATCTGGCCAGGCCATAGTTCCCCCTCATACGCCACGACAACATAATCTTCCGGAACATATTGCAGCGATGCATTGTGAGGAGAACTATCATGCTGCTGTTGTATATTTTCATCTTCCCAATCGTCGGCTTCCTCATTTAGCGGGCCATCGGAATCTGAATCGTCAATAGTTTCCACTGCCTGGTCTTCTTCTGAATCTGTTTCAGTTTCCGAATCTGTTTTCTTCTTCTGTTTTTTTTTTTCTTTCTTCCATTTTGTTTCTTGTGGAGGTTGAAGGTTCGAACAGGACTCTTTTGAGTTCTTCAGAAGATACGCTTTTTCCGGGATCTACATTCAATTTTCTCTTGCGACCTCCTTTTCCTTAACACACTACAGCTTGCCGCTTATTTTCAAGAAATTGGATGAATGACTCTCCGACGGCCTCTGGATCTAAGGTTGGCTCAGGGTGTTTGAACGTAGGAAGTCTCTCAAGCACTGGCTGTTCATTAGTTGGGAAAATCCCTGTTGTTAAAAAGCCAGCTTTTAGGTTGTCTTCAGTTTTTGGTGCAATTTTTTCCCATAACTGATTAAGCAGTGACGGGAATGTCTGTTTTGGAATGGTAGGCAAAACTTGACCTTCTCGCGTAGATTTCCATTCATCCAGTATTTTCCGCCAATGGACTTTGAGAGGTCGGAAGTATGCCACGTCCAGCGGTTGTGTAAGGTGTGTACTGTTAGACGGCAATGCGACGAACGCTATGTTGTGGTCTTCGCATGCTTTGACTACCTTGTAGCTGAGATGTGAGCTTAAATTGTCTCCAATTATTACTTTCTTTCCTTCTTCTCTTCTCAGTGCCGGTAACACTGTGGTGAAAAACCAATCTTCAAAACTATTAGCGTCAAACCAACCCGATTTAGATCGATTGTATCGAGTATTGGAAGGTCCTCCTTCGGTCCAAGAGTCCCACAAATGTTCAGCTTTGTAATTAACATATGGCGGTAACAGTTGACCTGCGGCATTTCCACACATCATCAGACTAAAGGCGGCTTTCGTTGAGTTTTTAATAGCCTCTGGATATTTTGTGCCACGACTTTTTCTTTCCTGGGTCATCAACTAAATTAGTCTCATCGTAATTATAAATCAAGTGAGGTGGGATATTCTCAATTTCCATTTTCAAATGATTGAAATAGTTCTTGATAGCTTCTTCATTTACTGCAGCTCGGACACGTTTAATATTGCTGCAGAACCTATGCGAAAGCTCTGATTTGTGTCTCTTTAAAAAAAGTTGAGCCCATGTACGACCTGGAAAATTATTTGAAAATTGTGGCACATTCCTTCCTTGCTTGTCCAAATATGTTTTCACTATGCATCGTAGGTCAAATAAAGTGATTGGGAACCCAAAGTGACACATTTGGATGGCGTGATCGACGAATGAGGATTCTTCTTTCGTGGTGAATACACATTGCCGATCAGGTGGGCGAACACTGTTGTTGCGTATTGCTTTTATTTTCAGAATTATTGAAGATCTTGTTATTTTATATTTTTCTGACGCCTCCCTTTGAGTTAATACTCTGTTTTCTATATCCGATAGGCACAGTTCCATCTGTCTGTCGCTATAATACTTGTATGGCCTGCCTCCTAGCTTTCTTCTGGACATTTTCAGTGAGTCATCCATCCACACCTGTAATAAAAATGAACTTCTAAATATGGTCCAAAAAAATCATAGGACTATTGTTGAAACCAAAGTACGAAAAATTATTATTTTTCGATTAATTTTTATAACAACACCTATATGTGAAAAACTATTTGCACAAAGTAGTCACTATTAGCTTACCTTCAAACAAAAACAAACCGCGAAACTCGGCACAAACTGCAAGTAATGTTTTCAAATAAAAGTTTCGTCATCCCATAAACACGCACCGACTTGTTCAATTTGTCGGCCGGATTGCCTTACCGAGCGGTGTTGCCATCTAGTTAGAAGCGCGGTAACTATCAGACTTATACCCATAGGCAATAATGATACACATTAAATTCACTTGGCGGCAGCACTTTCGAACTTTTAAAGACAAAAATGGACAGGTCATTTTGGATCATAGTTGTATAATAGGACTATAGTTGTATGATTTTACGGTACGACAAAACGAACCATGGGCATAGTTTTACTGTAGCCGTTAGAGGGCGCTCTCTACTGTACCTGTAGTGTATTAAAATGACCGAAAAAAATTTCTTAGTAAAATTTTTTGCTTTTTGAATAAAAAACCTGATTCTTTGCACTTTTCTGCATAAAAAAGCTCTCCTGTGAGTTTTCGTTGTAGTTAGCCGTTTTTGAGATATTTCGATTTTTAAGGTTCGATGCATTTTTAATTATTTATGATAAAATAACGTTAAAAAGTCAGTATCTCGATAATTTTTAGAAGTAGGCTGAGCCTGCAAATATTTTTGAAATTGAAAGCAGAATAAGGTTAAACGTCAATTAGTTGACAGTTAGTTTTGTTGTCTGTTGAAACCTGAAACGTTTTTTGCAATTGTGAATGCACGAAATTTAGTTTCTTTTACTTCTTTTTTTTTGTAAGTTTTATAAAAATGCCATTTTTATTCTCCAATCAAGAGTTAGCGGATATTCATTTTGTGTGTGGCTTTGTAAATGGAAACGCAGCAGAAGCAGCCAGAGAATACGCACGAAGATTGCCAAACAGACGACATCCAACTCGCTCAGTATTTGTAAGAGTGCATCGCCAAATAACTGAAATTGGTTTTGGAAATCTCCAAAGGGATCAAAACATAAATGTTCGTCAGCGCAGATTTACCCGTATGATTCTGCGTGAGTTTGATAGAGATCCGCCCACAAGTGTTAGGAGAGTTTCTGGTGCCTTGGGAATTTCAGCAAGCCATGTTCACCGTGTTCTTAGAAATGACCATAGACGTCCTTACCATTTGCAACCTGTGCAAGGACTACAGCCAGGGGACGGAAAACGAAGAATCACATTTTGTCAGTGGATTCTTGATAGAACTGATAATAATAGGGAGTTTTTAAGTAACGTTTTATGGACCGATGAGTCATGCTTATCTAGACGTGGAGTGGTAAATTTTCATAATCAACATATTTGGTCGCATGAAAATCCGCATGCAGTTCGGGAAAGAAATTTTCAGCATGAATTTAGTGTGAACGTGTGGATTGGTGTCTACCGTAATCGACTATTTGGGCCCTACCTTTTGCCTGCAAGGTTAAATGCTGCGACCTTCTTGGAATTTTTAAAGGCTGAACATGCAAATATGTGGGATGATGTTATGTTAGATTTAAGAAGAATGGCCTGGTTCCAGCTTGATGGTTGTCCAGCTCATTATTCGAGAATAGTTAGAAACTGGCTAGACGAAAATTATCCAGAAAGATGGATCGACCGTGGAGGACCAATCGTCTGGCCTCCACGATCCCCTGACCTATATCCATTAGATTTCTTTGTGTGGGGATTTCTAAAAGAAAAATGGTACCAGACTCCTGTAACGACAAGAGATATGCTAATAGACAGAATCAGGAATGCATGTGATGAAATAAGGCCTTATTTGAATAATGCTATACCACGTTCGATCATTCGTAGATGTGAATTGTGTATTGAACAATTGGGTTTACATTTCGAACAACTACTTTAGATTTTGTATGTTTGTCCTAACTATCCAATAACATTTTAGTTGTAAATAATTAATTTAATTTGTTAAAAATAATATTGGAAAATTAAACAAATTAATATTCTGTTTTTGTGTTTATTTGGAGTTAGGAATTATTGCTGTGTTTAAAAACACAATCTAAACGATCATCTTAATTACTTGTAATGCCAAAATCGAAAATGTAAAAAAAATATTATTTTCCCATAAATAATTAAAAATGCATCGTACCTTAAAAATCGAAATATCTCAAAAACGGCTAACTATAATGAAAACTCACAGGAGTGCTTTTTTATGTTGAAAAGTGCGCAGAATCAGTTTTTTATTCAGAAAGCAAAAAATTGCACTAAGAAAAAATTTTCGGTCATTGTAATACACTACAGGTACAGTAGAGAGCGCCCTCTAGTGGCTACAGTAAACTATGCCTATGGTTCATTTTATCGTACCAAAACACCCCTGTATACCACTTTTCACTGTTATACATCAAATATGGTTCGAAATATTTAAAAACAACTATATTAGAAAGTAAATTTAAACACCCTGTATTTCGGAAGCCACGCATTTTTCGACCCATGTTTATATAGACTTTATGCATTAGTTTTAAGAGTTCTATCGAATCTTAAAGTTATGCAACAATAAACTGAAACACCCTGTCTATATGTATTAATTATTAATGAATCACAAAAACGAAAAACTGAAACAAGCAACACTAGTAAGCGAAAAATTGATAAATTATAAATAATTATAAAAAACTATAAATAAAAACAGTAGTAAAACAAAAACTAATTCCATGTAATTATAAAAAACAAAAAATAACAAACAGCAGTAAAATAAAAAGCAATTAAGAAAAACAGTAGTAAAACAAAAAAAAACAATACCATGTTGAATAAAAAGCAATTCTAAGTGACAACACAAAACAAAAAGTAAAAACAGTAGTAAAACGAAGAACAATTTCATTCCATCCAAATTGCTTTTTATTTTGCTGTTAGTTATTTTTTGTTTTTTATAACTAAATGCAATTGCTGCTGTTTGTTATTTTTGTTTTATACTTAGTAACAGTCACTTTTAATTTTACTACTGTTGTTTGTTTCAGTTTTTTGTTTTTGTCTTTCATTAATTAATATAAATGTATATAAATTTTCCACTTTTCATATTTTTCCGTAAATACGGAGCCCAATCCGGCAACATCGCAGGCAAGCGCCTCTCATATATGACATATATCCACGTCATATGGTAGATGGCGGTGGAAATAATGGGGGAAATAACTGCTTAAAAAGTACAGTGTTTTAGGAAAAAATTCATGAAAACCGTGCTTCATCCACACTTTTTATGATTTAAAATAATTTATCCTATAAGTTTCAAGTGAAAAAACAGTGAAATCCGAAGTTCTACAAGACGCTACAGTACCGTTATTTCGACCGAAATCTTGTCGTAGCTTCCGAATCGTTTCAACAATCGACTCATTATGTATTTAAGTAAAACCTTGTAACAATGCGGACGCGTTGTGGGATCGTGTACCACCCCATGATGAATTGGACACATGCGGTTTAAACAACTACTACTGAAATACGTATATCAAAAATGGCGCGCAATTTAAATCAGTCAGTTTTATATTGGCCAGGATATCTATTCTATCACCTACTTTTTCTAACTAAGGTTTTCAGTTATCATTGATATTCTTTGTAATAGTGTTAAAGCAATGTTTCAAAGTCTTTTTCTTTGATGTTTTATAGGAGAAATGATCTTGGCGAACGACAAATACTACATGACAGAAATCAACAACTCGTATTACAGTGTACACTTGAAATTGGTGATCAGGCGCTTCCAGAAATCGGACTTAGGAGGGTACAAATGCATATCCAAGAATTCTATAGGGGATGCTGAAGGAACTATCAGACTTTATGGTGAGCCTCTTATTTGTTAGACATTTCTTGACAAGGTGGATGTTTGAAAGGTTTTGTTTCAGACTAGAGTCATGAAGAAATGAAAACGACTTAGAATAATGCATTCAGATGGAAACTTGAAGAACTAAAAACTATTATAAAACAAAAAATTGTTTGTGAGGATAAAATATCATACATTTAAACAAACGAATAAGAAATTCATTTTTCCGGATAATTTTGGAACATCTTAAAATTCGTTTAATTTTCTATATACAGGGTGTTTCAGTTTATTGTTGCATAACTTTAAGATTCGATAGAACTCTTAAAATTAATGCATAAAGTCTATATAAACATGGGTCGAAAAATGCGTGGCTTCCGAAATACAGGGTGTTTAAATTTACTTTCTAAAATAGTTTTTTTTAAATGTTTCGAACAATATTTGATGTATAACAGTGAAAATTGGTATACAAGGGTTTTTTGGTACGACAAAACGAACCATGGGCATAGTTTTACTGTAGCCGCTAGAGGGCACTCTCTACTGTATCTGTAGTGTATTAAAATGACCGAAAATTCTTTCTTAGTGCAACTTTTTGCTTTTTGAATAAAAAAAATGATTCTTCGCACCAACATAAAAGAGCTCTCCTGTGAGTTTTCGTTATAGTTAGCCGTTTTTGAGATATTTCGATTTTTAAGGTTCGATGCATTTTTAATTATTTATGTGAAAATAATATTTTTTTTTTACATTTTCGATTTGGGCATTACAAGTAATTAAGATGATCGTTTAGATTGTGTTTTTAATCACAGCAATAATTCCTAACTCCAAATAAACACAAAAAACAGAAAATTAATTTGTTTAATTTTCCAATATTATTATGCATTAATTTTAAAAGTTCTATCGAATCTTAAAGTTATGCAACACTAAACTGAAACACCCTGTATACGTAAATATTCATATTCTTGCCTTAATTTAACCGACCTCGGACAGATGAAAATTATAAAACACATTTCGTAGTTGGGAAATCGAAATTGCAATATGCTTTAGCGAGCAACAGTATCAGAGTATCAGAAAGAAAATATTAATAAACGAATTTTATAATTGTTCCACAGAGCAGAAAAACACAATTTTATTGATGTTCGCAAATGAATAAACTTGTATCGGATATTAGCAGTATAAAAATGTTATAAGACAAACTTGTTCGGTAAGCTAAAATGTCGTATAAAATTGTTGTGTAAACGTTTATAAATAGTATTAAAATTTGTCGTGAAACTGTTTTCTATTTTTTTCCTAAGAACTCATAAAGCAAAATACTTGTTAAAAGCTTATTTGTTTTACTGGCAATTATATTAAAACACAATTGCGTTATAAGAGCAGTAATAAAGCAAATATAGAATAAAATAGCGCGGACAGTCGAAGCTTATAAAATAAAAAATAAAATCAAGTGCTGGGGAAGGTGCCTTTCCATCCATTCTGCCAGCATTTGTTAGATTAGAAACGTACCTTGAGTAATACACTAGTAATATTTTCCTTTAACGTTTCAGAAGTGGAGTTGCCAAAAAGCGAAGACGACGAAACCGAAGAGGAGCTACAAATAATCGAAGAATCTGAAGAATCCAGCGAAGACATGGAACAGCGGCTGTACGGTTCGCAGGGTTCCTTGACCGAGACGGAGGGCATCAATCTGGCCCTTAACGTTAGCAGCAGTTGCGCTCTGTTGCCCTTCGGAAGACTGTATACGGTGGTGTTGGTGCTGCTACGGATCTACTGACTACCGCCTGCGGCACTCAGTGTATAACTCGTATGTGATATGTGCCAAATTTATATGTGCTTCGGTTAGGGCCGCTACTCATAGTGCATGAATTGATGCAACGACGGCTGCTCCGTTGATTATGGAGATGTCAAGTGAAGTCATGTACAAGTGCAACTTCCGAGAAGTGCACTATTAGTAGCAGGCCTTAGGTAGAACTTACACTATATGGAGGCGGTGTGCAGTTTGATGATGATACTAAACGTTGAACTACGACATAGTTATCACTTTTTGTTTTTTTTTTAATTTTGAATGTCATGTCAACATACAAATATGAGTTAGTAACGTTGAAGTCAAGCGACAAACATGCACCGGGAGGGTGCTGCGATCACCCGACGATACCAGTAAATTGAGTGGTCTTGGCGGCAAAGATATAGGCAGGCTCACAGCGAACATTTTACCACGGGTATTTCAGTAGCGGCGTTTACGATTATTTAACGTTGTGCTTTTACTTGTTTTAACGCATCAGTCATTTGGATAAGCTTCTTTTCAAATAGGTCGACTCTATATCTCAAGACTCGTCACAAGCAGATCAACTGTAAAATATCTACGGTTCGTACAAAGCCCATCAAAGAGCTTCGACGCCAGGATGATGTATATAGACGGAAACACCTACTACAAAATATGAAAGATTGATATTCAAATCAAGTTGGGTACTTTATTTTGAAGGTTTATTTATACCATTTATGTATGAAAAATAATATCGCTCAAATGTTCACCACGACTGGATTTACAGACGTCCACGCGATGGTCCAACTTTTTTATGACATTTTGCAACATGGTCGGTTCTATGGCATTTATCTCGGCAATGATGTTGTTTTTGAGTTCTTGGCGGGTGGCTGGTTTGTTGACGTAGACTTTGCTTTTCAAATATATCCCATAAAAAGAAGTCCAAGGGAGTCAAATCGCACGATCTTGGTGGCCATGGCACATTTCCTCTGCGCGAAATCACGCGATCACCGAAGAAGGACTGCAATCGATGGATATTGACGTTGGTTGTGTGGCGTGTTGCACCGTCTTGTTGGAAATAAACATCGTCCATATCCATTCCTTCAAGTTGCGGCAAAAAATAGTCCTCTATCATCACGTGATATCGCTCAGAATTGACGGTAACGGCGTCCCCGGCCGCATTTTCGAAAAAGTAAGGCCCGATGATGCCTTTTGACCACAATGCACACCACACAATCACTTTTTGAGGATGCATCGGCTGGTCTTGATACTCACGGGGATTTTCGTTCGCCCAGATGCGGCAATTTTGCTTGTTTACCGTCCCATTCAAAGTGAAATGCGCTCCGTCACTGAACATGATTTTTGATGAAAAATTGGCATCAATTTGGCGGTGTTCAAGGAGCCAATCTGAGTACGTTCGGCGCAAAAAATGGTCGGCCCGACGCAGCTCTTGCGTCAATTGGATCTTGTAGGCGTGTACATTCAAATCCTTGTGGAGAATGCGGAGCAAACTGGTTCTCGAAATGCCCAATTCTTGGGATCGACGCGTTGTTGATTGTTTCGGATCGCCTCTCACACTCTCCTTCACAACAGCAATATTTCCGGTGTGCGAACGCTCCTTGGCCGGCCAGAGCCTGGCAGATTTGCCACAGAACCTGTTGCCTCGAATTTACGCACCAGACGACCGATGGTTGTTTCGTTTGGGCGGTTGTTGCGACCGAAATGTTCACGAAGCGCGCGAAACGAGTTTTTTATTTTTGCACCATTTTTGTAGTGCTCTTGAATAACTTTAATGCGGTCTTCAATCGAATACGACTCCATAGCGATCGATGGTAAACATTCAACTAACAAAATGACATGTCGGTGACAGAAAACAAAGATGGCGTCTATGTCAAATTGACGTTTACTTTCCTGCGTTCCTATTGAGGCACTGATGCAAAAATCGATAAATAACTGAAATATAGAATAATTGCTTTGATCAATAATTGCATTCCGTATGGCATTAAGTCTAGAAATAAACCGAGCATAATCTAGTTGATGACAGAATTCGGTGTAAAATACAGAGTCAACCTACTTGACGTCTTTCTTTAAAATGGATTTTGCGATCTTCCCCAGAACTGCTCGATATGTAATCAGTAAGTGGTTCGACACGCCATAGATTTAAGTCTGTTGTGAGTTGAAATGGCATTCGGTAGATGAAGTCAAGTTATCTGTTGGATTATTTACATGTTAAACTGTCTCTGTTTGACTTTCTGGTGGTGTAAGTTCTATCAGTTTCGCTATTACCTACAATGCTGTGGATGTATATCTCGGTACGGTCACGTTTAGCTGGTCATACATTATTATATAAACTTCCGTCGCAAAGTGAAAATCAAAAGATGCAATTAACAAGGAAGACAGTATTTTATCACTCAAACCTGATTGTGGAAATTGAATCAAGGAATGTGAGAATATGCATTTAAAATTCTTGTGAAATCGTCCATTTTGCATTCTTGACCACCCAGTATAAACTGTACAAAAACAAAAAGTAAGTAAATATGGCACCATAAAAATGTTTAAAGAATCATTCAGCACTCTAGCCGTAATAGTTACGGAGGCGAGAGTTGTCAAAGTTCGGTGTTTATTCGATGGTTTCTTAAACATCTCAACAATTTGGAAATAGAACCCTATGTATGTTACCAAAATGCTTTCCATTTAAAAAATGATTGGGTCATCGCATAATTATGAATCACCCTGTCGAGATAAAAATATTTTCCAAGGATCATACTGTTGACTACAAATTCCGTAATTAACTTTATTTAGATACTATGCGCAATAACATTGACTTCAATGGAATTTTCTTACAATGCACATATCAATTTGATCTTTGATGAGAAATATCGACCCGATTTTCTTATTTCTCTGGCTTTACTGCCAGCCAACTTACGCTTTCGTTATATCAAAGAAGGCTGGTTTGAGATTTTCAAGAAACACACGAACATAGTCCTTACAACTCATAAAATAAGCGAGTCGATAATCAACAGGTTCTTATTCCTCATTCTAAAACATAAAGATTGCATCAATTTGACGTAAGCTATGTAATAGTATACGACCCTAAAGGACTCTGCCCTTTGTAAAAATTAGCAGTAGAATTATATGAACGTTGAAATGTTTGCAAAGTCATAGATGCTTGCAACCTGCATATCCATATCGGTTTGTTTGTTATACTTGTACGATACGGTATAGTTAGATTTTATTTACTCTACAGTGTTATTATTTCGACATATGTTGTTTATACTTAAGCCAAATAAACTGTTTTAAATTACGCTTGACTTTCATTATACCTGTTCGACAAAATTCTGGATTCGGACTAACAAGAATACAATATACACTAAGTATGTGTCATAAATTTAACAGACGATTCTTTGGGTAATTTTAGGACAAAAAGCTCTCATAAATATAGGTCCGCAAATTTTTCGTTCTCAAGATAAATTGTTTTTAGTAAATATCTTAAATATCCTATACCTAATTCTGTTGTAATTTGACGGTGGTATTTATAACATTGAGGAGCTAATTTAACTTGATTAAATTGATTTGAGCGTCTCGAAGCGGGATCTGAACAAATATACTAAGTGACATATAAATCCGAACACCCAGTTTAAATGGTTTTATTTTAATAAAATTTTGTATAAGTACTTAATGAAGCATAATAAGTAAATGATAAAAATTTCAAAATGATTGCACTGCTTTGAAGCTCTTTGACCTTTAATAATGTGTGGATGCACCCTGATGTGCTACGCATTCTCCAACGCGCCTAGGCATGCTTCTGATCAGGTGGTCAATGTCCTCCTGTGGTATCTCATTCCAGGCAACCACCAACTCCTCTCGAAGTGCTTCTAGAGTCTGAGGAGGACGCTGCAACTTGAGCAATCTCCTACCCATCATATCCCACACGTGCTCAATTGCGGATAAGTCGGGAGATCTTGGTGGCCATGGTAACAATGTGACATCGTTATGTTGAAAGAGGTATATTGTGACTCTTGCAACATGTGGTCGGGCATTATCTTGTTGGAAAGTTGGATCTGCCAAGGTGTCAAGATAGGGTAAAAGATGGGGTACTAGAACTTCATGGATATAACGCTACGCGTTCATGTTACCTCTGATGAAGATTAAAGGTGACCTGGAACCATAAGCTATAGCACCGCAAACCATAACTCCAACAGTGTGATGAACATTGTCTTTCAACAAGAAACTGTGGATTCCTCCTTTCACCTCGTCGCCTTCTAACCCTGGCACGACCATCGTGCATGCCTAAACAAAATCGAGACTCGTCACTAGAGACAATACTGTTCCATTCCTGATCCCAGAGTGACCGTTGTCTGCACCACTCAAGGCGATTACGTCGGTGTTCTCGAGTTAAAGGGAGGACCCAGTGTGGCCGGTATGAAAACAAGCCAAAACTTCTCATTCGTCGGTAAACACTTCCAATAGGTCTTCCGTGTTCTGCAAACCATTCATTTGCAATGGACCTGGTATTGGAGAACCGGTCCCTTAAGGCCAATAATCTTCACGTTCTGTTGTTCTACGGCGGCGTCCAGTGCCCCTTGCTCTTTGCGTACGGCCTTCTCGAAGCCATGCCTGACAACACCTAACCACGGTGTCTACACTTCTTTGCACTCTAACTGCAATTGCCCGAAAAGAAAGTCCAGCTTCCCGAAGTCCCACTATACGGCCACTATCAAACTCACTAAGTTGACGAAATCGTACAGGTCTCCGTACTCTAGGCATCATAACCGATCGTAAAGGATGTCAAGAACCAAAATCCGCCAACGTTGATTCTTGAATGTGAATACCGAAAGAATGGTTTTTTCAAAAGGATGATATTTTGGACACATATCGTCAAGATGTTGCCTGCACCATAAATAACGACTTCGTAATTGCACATAAGAATATCGAATATGAAAAGTGTATCAATAACGTCGTGACGTATCGGAAATTCGCGCACTTCCTGTCCCACAAGCAAATATAATGAAGGAACGTGAACAATGGCGAAACATTTGTCAATAATTAACCCTTTGAAGCATCACGTTTATCCAGCGACATGGAAAATACCCGGTGACCTTTAAATGTCGTCGCCCGCGCCCATCTCATCGCGCGCTTCTGGACATTCATGATATTTAATGTCGTATCTGCCGCTTTAATTAACATTTTTCTGTCATATTCCGGAAGGTGGAAAGTATGAAATATGGATAGAGTATGGCCCCTATTTCCCCTTTTACAAGATACAAGACAGTTCCGACAAAGTATTGCGGTATAGTTTTTAATTCTGATTCCAAGAATATTCAGGGTGGTCCTCTTCAGATTTATAATGGAAACTCCCTTTTTTAATTTTTAGATTCTATATGAAGTTTTTAGTAACTTTTGTACTTATAGTAAAGTTTATACCTATCTTCAATCGTCGTGAAGCTATTTGAGTTTATAATAAAATTCTAGACATTGTGATAATAAGGGATTATATCTCAAGAATAATAATCAATATAGAGGGTGCGTCATCTACTACTTTTTTTCTATTTGAAAAATCAAACACGCTTTTTACGAGGTGAAATCGAATTGTTTGTCGATAAATGAAGGTTGGTTTATGCCATTTATGTATGAAAAATAACATCAGTCATGTTTCCACAGCGGTTTCGTTTACAGGCTAACATCCGAACATCAAAATTTTCAATGACTTTTCCCGGAATAATCGGGTTTATGGCCGCAATTTCAGTCCGAATATTGCGCTTTAGGTCTTGAATTGTCCGGGGACCATTCTCATACACTTTTCCTTTCAAAAATCCCCACAGAAAATAGTCAAGAGGTGTTAAATCGCAAGATTTCGGGCGCCAAGAAAGTAATTGATCAATTTTTTCGAAAGTGAGCTATAACTGAAATTATCGAATTTTAAAGAAGTGTTACATTTATCCCAAAAAAAGGGTTTCTCTTGAGAATGGGTGGTTTTTCTCATACTACCTAGAACAATACTTATAGCAATAGAATATAGAATAGCAAACTACAATTTTCGCTGAACACCAAGTACGTACTCGCGTCGATGAGCGAACAGTGAATAAAAGAAAAAGACCTATCACTCAATGTCCCGGGCTTGGAATAAAAATTTTTATGTCTGTGCAGAAATGGCGCCTGCCCGATCATAAATATATCGCCGTAACTCTCCCTTATAGGATTGCTCCGTATAAAGCGGCTCGTGACAAATTTATTTATTGGAATAGATCCTGAATGCACCAGTCGACAGGGTCACAACGTCCGATGATAATCCGGAACTGAAAGAAGCTACGTTCACAATTTGGAAGAACATTACTTCCACAGAATTAACGAGAAAATGAACCGTTCAAAATAGAGCTAGGCGCGATACTTACAGTTAAAAATTTTCACAAAAGTGAATATGAATATTTAGGAAACTAAATACAGGATTACCTTTCAATTTTGCAGTAAATGATTCTTAATATTGTGACGAATAGTTCAGTTGGCGCCATCTGTTGGGCGAGTCTCCTACTCGCCAGAGCGTAATGGCCGATCTCTGCTTTTACGCGAACCACGACCGCACAAGCCGCTAGGCGGCGTCTGTAAGGATCGTGACAGTGGATCGCCTTCTATATCGACGCGAAGTGACCTCCAATATTCTAGATGTCGCTTTGTGGTTCACCAGACCTTTCTCGAAGCACCAATTGGAACTATACAGGGTGACTTCGAAGTTGAGTCATTTATTTTAACAGTGAGTAGATCTAATCAAAAGGAATGTTTTTTTTCCTTTACCATTTTTCTGGTAAAATTAAAGTAACAAAGTTATAGCCCTTTGGAAGTTTGAGTACCGCGCTGTCTCAATAATATCATGTGCTCGTGTTTGGCAACAACGGATATAATCCGCCTTATCGGTTCATCGCATCGGAAACAAAAAAGCGAAGGAATTTGGAACGATGTTTTTACAATTATGTTATTCAATTCAGTTATACATACAAACAGTGTCAGTCGCGTGTGAATAGTATCTGTTGCGTGGCTCAAACGAAATAAAAAATGGCACATGTTTATGCGGATCGGTTTCCCAATCGAGTGCAACCAACCCGTCGTGCCTTTGTTAATGTAGTACAACGGGCTCGTGAATCAGGTGACTTAAGACCTCACAGGGGACCTCACGATCAAATACAGGTCCGCACTGAAATACTTGTCTGGAGGATACTTTATAAAACAAGGTAAATTTTTTTTTTTATTTTTTTTTATTTTTACACACATATTTTGGTTTATCTTCCTTCTACAATCATTATCTGAAAATTAATGACTCAATTTCAAAGTCACCCTGTATATCCCAGGACCAGGACCAACCAGGACCAGGACCCGCCACGACCAGGACCCACCAAGACCAGGACCCATCAGGACCAGGACCAGGAACAATATATAGGTAAGAGGACTTTAAACTCTTGATTTTTCGAAAACAAGAGTTTCAAGAGAACCTAGCAGACGCTCTATCGATGATCGCTTAAGGACATCGATAGAATGTGCGAGGTAAAGGGAACCAATTCGGCGTTCCCAGAGACTGAAACACATGAGGAGACGTTGTAGCAGACCGCAGGTCACGCACAACACATGGCCTACCGAGACGCTGATGAGTCGGGCCACACAGAGGTTAGGGTTTAGTGGGTATTAGGTAGTCTCCTCAAGACAACCTGGAGTCCCACACACGCCATAGCTCGGGCTATGGTAAGGTGCGTAAATGCATTCCCCCTCACCAAAAAAAAAAAAACGCGAGATGCGGCAGAGAGTACAGATTACACGAGAGAAGAGCGGAGTGGAGTATAGTGCAGTCAATGGCGACATACGAATTAGTCAGACATAAATAGCGGTGTATATAAATGTTCTATCGAGTTAAATAAATTAGTGCGTTTCTTTTTGTAGAATCCAGTGTTTCAATCCACACCCAAAAGAACCCAGAAAAACGCTACAATATTGCAGTGGGTATATCTAAAAAGAGATGTTATAAACATTTTACGCGGAATTTGAGCGGATCTGCATGATCATTTATATTCAACAGGCGCCCCTAAGAAGGAAGATTCATATTTTGACCAGCAACTGCGCTGCAGATATTTACATTCTGTATCTGACTACTACGGCATTTATCACCACCTAATGCGTACAAAGAACAATCAAATCGTTATTCTATCATTGTCGAGAAGTGTTGTTTCTTAGATTTAGTAGATGTTGTTTAAAAAATCCTGCATTTGCCGTTTGCTTTATTGGGCCTCTAATTATTTGCTG